AAACTCCCAAAAAAATCCCGACACTCCCAATAATCCCAAAAAAATCCGAAAAATCCAAAAAAATCCGAAAAATCCAAAAAATCCAAATCCGCCGTTTCCCCCTTGTTTTCGATGCTACGAACTTTAAATAAAAATAATCGTATTAAATTTTATAACACTAGAGTATTCTTAGGATATCATTATTTAGAGATAGCACATTTAAATTAAAAAAAAAGTTAAATCAAGAAATTTTTGAAAATTTAAATTTAAAACAAATAATTTTTTACATGAAAAGTTAAACTTAAATTAAGTTTTTTGAATTTAAAGTGAGAAAATTTTAGGAATAGCTGATTCAAATTGATTTTGACCTTATTGAAGGTGTTACAAGCCAATTTTGTTTTCGTGTTTTCTAGAAATAAAAATAGTCCTTTCTCTACGAATTGTGCTAATCAATTTGGGTGTTTGAGCATCTTTATTATATGGAAGATTGGAGTTCAGAAACCATATATGATGTGTTCAGAAATTTTCAGATTTATAAGCATATTCTGAACTTAAATACCGAATTTCTTCTTACTTCTCATGTATTACTGCTTAAGTTATGTATTTTCCAAATATCGATGACTATATCGGATTGAAACGATTTATTAGATTCAAAAAAAAAAATTTTTAATTTAAACTTAATTCAAATTCAAATTTTTCGCACTGAAAAATTTAAATTTTTTTAAATTTTAAATCAGCCTAAATTGAAATTTAATTTAAATTTAGATTAAAAAAATTATAAATTGACATTCCTATCATTTTTTGCGAAAAAAAGTATTATCAACAAAGAGTCATTAGACTCCAATGGAAAACATTTTAGAGTTGATTAATTAAATAATATACTAAACTAAATCACCTTATTCAATTGATGTATTGTCTCGTTTATATGCGACGAAATGATCGCGACGAGTTGTACTCGTGCCGTAAAACAATGTCAAGCATTACAAATTATAATTCATTGCGATCTAACTAATACAGATGCACATCGATTCTTTTCTTGTCTTGGTTTAACAATAAATGTTTTTGAATTTTATTTAAAAAATAATCAATTATTAGAAAGTAATAATCAAATTAATATTATTGATATAACAGATTTATAATGTTACATATACTAAGCATATCTATTGTGATGATTTAGTTACAAATGAAAATAGTCGAAGTTTAGGTGTTGGTCGATGTTTAATTAATTATATGAAAAATGTAGGAAATACATTAGGTATTGATAAATTAATATTGGATAGTGGATGTGAACGAGGACGTGCACATAAATTTTATTATCGAGAAGGTTTTATTATTAATCGATTTGGATTTAGAATGTCGTGTTAAATTGAATGTTTCTTTTTTTAAGCACATCTATTTATATAATTTTTAATGAAAATTTCACGAAATTCTAAATATAGTAATTGATTTCTTTTCGTTGATTATAGTTGTAATAATCTGATTGAAATAAAAATGATTAGTGTCTAGATAAATAAAGTATAATTGTCTTAGATCGAACAAGAGTACGAACTTGAAAGTAGAAATTCAAAGATTAGATTCGACTATTGGATTCATACTTCCAAATTTTTATCATTTTCCAGTCAGAAACATTCTGTATTTCTTGATCTAGATAATCAGTCTTTGATGTTGTTTTGATTTGATGTGATAAATATACAGTAAAACCTCCCTAAAGTGAACACTAATGGGACTGGTTAAAACATGTT